AAAAAAAAAAAAAAAAGCCACTTTCCCCCAAGTCCCTTAGAAATGACAGTATACGATCATGTTCTTTGATTTTGTCTGTTTTATATGTCCATGTTTCGACCAAATGTAGGGCTCACATCAGTTTATTCCTCGTTTGTTCCATTCCAGGTGCTGGGGGATACTTTAAGATCCCCAGCAAGACAGCTCTAAGAGAGATTAGAAGGTTCTGGCCACAATGCCAAGGTGGGGGACAGTCTCACCAACTGGCTTCTTTGGGAAGTGTTTTTCCTGTAACGCAGGCAGGTTGAGACGTGGGCTCAGGAGAGAGAGTCCTGTGCAGGGATGAGGGAGCCGCAGGTAAAGTATCAAAGTCCCTCCTCAGTTGCGGGATCATCTAGGCCTGTCAGGCCAAAAGGGGGAAAATAGGAGGTCTGCTGGTCTCCCGTCTTCAGATCTTTAAAAACTGTTAAGTGAGGATGCTGCAGGAAAAAAAGGGAAAAAGTGGTAAGGAGGGGATGACCCGGGAAAGAACTGTCCACACAAATGCTGGCATCTCCCAGAAGAGAGGTGAGGCCTCTCAGCAAATTGTTCTTGAGGCATCTCCCAGCAAAGGTGAGGCAGTGGGAGCCTCGCAGTCTCTCCTTTCATCCCGCCATCCAAAATCAGCCCCAGGGACTCCTCCCTAGACTCTGCTCCTCACACACCGTCTCTGCGAATGTGCTCTGTCTGGTCTTGTCTTCACTTTATGAGGAATTTGGACCAGATGTCACCCTACTTCTCTGACAAAAAGAGTGAGCTTCAGAGAAGTTTGCTGGGCCGGTGGCTGGTGAGTAGGGAAGGCGGGCCTCGTGCTCTGCACAGTAGCTCCAAATCCTGGATCTTTTCTAACGCCCAAGTCTGAGTTATGTCTCTGAGCAAGTCACAGCCCTTTGTCCTGAAGACTTTCCTCCTGCAGGACCTCTCTCAGAGGGGCTGTTCTGGTGCTCCTGCCCCTGGCATTGGAGGCCTCTATGAGAGCCCAGGGCCGGGCTGGGCCTGCAGAGGACAGTCTCACCGGTGTCCACTCCACTTATAGGCTCTACAGAAGCTTTGAAAATGGCAGTGGTCCCCAAATTCCTTTACTCCAACCCTCAGGGAGCCTTGTCCGTTACAGTTTGGGGCCTGTTTCCTCCTTCCATCTTTCCAATGCCCCTGCCCCCCATTAGCGTCCAGGGCTTCATTCTGATGAACAGAGTTGTTAAAGGGAGAGAGTGGAGGACAGCTGAACAGACTACAGAGCAATGTAAGCAGTATGACCTTGATTACAACTGCTCTAATTGTATAATCCTGTGGCTTTGCAATTATTTTCCTGGTTTTATGCTTCATCCCACAGCCATTAAAATACTAATGTTTTGCTTTTTAAGATGGCAGATAAGGACTAATAATAAGAGCACAGAGGAGAGTCCTTTATGACTCCCGACAGACCTAATGTGCAGTAACGGGGTCGCCCTGACCACGATCTCATGCAGAATGGCTGAGTGGGGCTGAGGGGAGCAGGGCGCTGGTGAGGAAGCAGTCAGGGGCGTTGGAGGTGGCAGCACGAGGAAGGGCCTTGGAGCAGGGTCAGCCCTCAGGGTCCACACCAGGCGCTGCGGTCTCTCACCTTCACACACTGCGCCCGCGTCCTCAACATGCCCGCAGTCGAAGGGCTCAACCTGCTCGCATTCGGCCAGGGCTGCTTCGGTCCCGTTGCACAGGGCGACCTGAATGAGCACAGGCTGCGCCTCCTCTGCCGCCGGGGGATACAACATGGCCGCAGGCGTGTGCCTGGGTGCTCCGCAGCCCAGCTCCCGGCACACCACGGCCACGTCCTTTATGTCCCAGCCGTCATCACACACGGTGCCCCAGCGACCTTCCTGTTCTACCTCCACCCTTCCTTCACAGGGGTGGGGCCCATTCATCAAGCGAACTTTGGGTGGAGTCTCTGCAAACCGAAGAGGGACAGCAGGCTCAGGAATGTACTGTCAAGGCAGTCCCCAGGGTTAGTTAGCTGAGGCTGTTGATGGGGGCTGAGGGGTTGGGGACTTGCTAAGGCTCTGGTTCTGCCTATTTGGCCACCACTTCGCATACGCGACCCGCCCAACCAATGGCCCTCTCTCAGGGACACCTGAGAAAGATTTCGTTTTTCTCTGAAGATAAAGGGGCATGGAGACATGGAGACTTAAGGTATGACTCCCATGAGTTCAACAAAAGCTCAGAAACAGAGAAGGGTAGAATTAGACCTTTCCTAGAGATGGAGACTGGAGAGGGGGAAGGATCGCCTGAACCCAAGGACTGCAGGCGGCGGTGAGCTACTATCGCACCACCGCAGTCCAGACTGGGGGCTCCATAGTAGGCAAAACATGACTCTGTTTCTAAAAAGAAAAAAAAAAAAATCCCAGAAATTATTTTAAAAAATTAAAAAATTTATAATTGTTAATGCCAGATTTTAAAGGAAATGAAAGCCTATATTGCACATATTTCAAATGTTAGACAAGTGAAAATATTATGCATCAAAACTCTTAAGAATGAGGTAAAAATGGTACTTAAAAACATACCATTTCAAATGTATTTATTAGAAAACAAAGATGAAAAATGAATAAGCATTGTTGTGAATAAATTAAAGAAAGAACAACATAAAATAAATTTAACATAAATGGAGGGAAGAATACATTGAAAATAAAGGAGAGTGGGGTGCAGTGGCTCATGCCTGTAATCTTAGCACTCTGGAGGCCAAGGCAGGTGGATTGCCTAAGCTCAGGAGTTGGAGATCAGCCTGAGCAAGAATGAGACCCCATCTCTACTGAAAATAGAAAAACTAGCCAGGCATTGTGGTGGAGGCTTGTAGTCTCAGTTACTCAGGAGGTTGAGGTGAGAGAATTATTTGAGCACAGGAGTTTGAGGTTGCTGTGAACTATGACGCCATGGCACTCTACCCAGGGTGATAGAGTAAGACTCTGTTTCAAAAAAAAGAAAGAAAGAAAAGAAAAGAGAAATGAATGCATTAGAAAAACAAAACAAAATACATTTGAATAAAAATAAATATGGCTTTTTGAAAAGAGCAATACAACAGAAACCTCTGGTAAATCTGATAAAAAGAGGGACCTCAGCTCAGTGCCTGCAGCACAGTGATTACGGCACTGGCCACATGCACCAGGTCGGTGGGTTTGAACCTGGCTGGGCCAGCTAAACAGCAATGACAACTACAACAACAACAAAATAGCCAGGCGTTGTGGTGGGCGCCGTAGTCCCAGCTAGATCGAGGCAAGAGGATTGCTTGAGCCCAAGAGTTTGAGGTTGCTGTGCACTGTGACACCATAGCACTCTAGTGAGGGTGACAAAGTAAAACTCTGTCTCAAAAAAAAAAAAAAAAAAAAAAGAGAAAGAGAAAAGAGACCACACAAAGAAACAAATTACAAATGAAAAGAACATAATCACCTAATATGAACGTGCACACTGTGAGGGTGTATAACATGCCCCCTGGGTAAGGGGCTCTTCTACAAATGGAACTTTACCCTGCATGTGAGAACCAGGTAACCTAAATATTGTACCCTCATATTCATTTGAATAAAGTTTTTTAAAAAGAAAAGACTATGATCACAAATATGAAGGCTGTTTAAAAATTAGGTTAAGTCATATAAGCAACATTATGTGATAAACTTGAAAATCTAGATAAAATGACCAACTTTCTGAGTAAAACTATCCAAATTGTGTTTTAAAAGGTTGGAAAATTTGAGAAGACTAATAAAAAAGATTTGACGATAAGGGGAAAAGGCTCAGAAAGTTGTTTGAGCTAGTTTTAAAGACTCATAGCAAATAATTCTAATATTGTTTTAAATTTCTGCGGAAATTATGAAAACTTTGAAAACCATTCTTATAGGGTTAATCTATTCTGAAATCAAAAGTACATGAGTATAGTTCAGAAAAGAAAACTCACTTATAAATAAGATGCAAAAATTTGAAATAAAATATTAGCAAGTTAGTTATATACTATAACCATGATAACTAAAAAGGGTTTATAGGGAGAATTCAATGATTGTGCCATATTAAAAAAATATGTCGTTGTAATTCTGTATAGTAATAGATTAAAGGAAAAAACATATCATCATATATATTAACATGGTGGCAAAGAGCACAATTTCTGGATTCTAGCAACTCTGGCCTGAAGTTCCATCTTTGTATTTATTTGTTGTGTGACCCTGGCCAAGTTACTTAATCTAAATTCCATTTCCTCGTTTGTAAAATGAGAATTTCTATGGAGATTAAATGAGATAACTGTAATAAAAGTTTAAATCCCAGAATCTGGTTTGTTCATGGTTTTTTTACTTTTCCCTATGTATTTCCAAGGGTTAGCTGTGTCCCAGCTCACGGCCAGCTTGGAGCGTACAAGATCTTTTCTCATTTTTTCTCAGGGACGTCTTCCTCCCCTCTGCTGCCTCACCTACCCCAGCCAAACCGACTTGACCCCAGGACAGTGCCTGACAGACAGCATTCATTTCAAATGTCCATTATCATTTACAAGAGGGCTAAGCAGTGGCCCATTGATCTGGGAGAGCCTTGGGGAACCGGTGACCCTTGAATAGAATTCTGCTTCCCAGGGGACAGGAACATCCAATGGAAGGGAAACAAAAGCCATTGCTTGGCATACTTGGTCCTCTGACAGGAGGCATCCTGCATGTCCTACCTGTGACCTTGAGTGCCACCGCCTCGCTGTGCTGGGGTCCCTGGCCATTGTCGGCATCACAGGAGTAGTTTCCAGAGTGCTTTACGGTCAAGGAGAGGAAGAAAGATGCTCCTCCTCCAGAGGGGGCTGAGGTGGTCCCCAGGGTAACGTTTTCATGATAAAACCTGTAGAGTATGGGAGAAGCTCTCTGCTCTTCACAGCTAAGCTCCACCACCTCCCCAGGGAGGGCCAGGGTGCTGGGAGCACGGAAGCGGAGCACAGGATGCGACACTGGAACTGAGAGAAATGGAGTGGCATGAGAGAGGCAGGTATGGGCTTGTCACCCAGTTGCTCCCCTAAGGATGTCCTCACTGCGTAGCACCCTCCAGCCCCAGATTCTTTCCAGGAGTGGGCATTCCTGGTTTAACCCTGCAACTGCTTCTGAGGGGATCTGGGGGGTATAATGGAGGGTCCTGGTGCTGCCGCTGGGCTCTGTACTGGCCCCTGCCCCACCTCAGCCCCTCTGCCTCTACTGCATGTGTCACCTCCACCCTCACAAGACCACTCTGTTCAAACGGCCTCTTACCCTCTTCACACCCTGATCCTGCGCCTTGTCACCTCCTTGGAATAGCCTCAGCCTTGCTGCCACTGGAGGCAGCTGAGTCTGGCTGAGAGCCACTGGCCAGCTGATTTCAGAGGGTGGCACTTACTTCTCACGGTGACGTTCACCACCCCACTTTGCACGGGGCCGTAGCTGTTGTCCGCAGTGCAGTAGTATCCCCCCGCGTGACTCTCCCTGACAACAGGGATCCCCAGCTCTGCCCTCTGGGAACGCTGAGTTTTCCTCCCCAGACTCTCCATGTCCTCTCTGTGCCAGGAGAATGTGGTGTCCCCTGTGCCTTCAGCCACAGAGCAAATGAGGACCAGCGTCTCCCCTTCAATTGCCTGCCCGCCTGGGGGCTGGGTCTCCATGAGCACTCCAGACACACGGATCCCTGCATGAACAGGAAGCAGGGGGTGAGGGCCTGGGGCAGAGAAGAGCAGGGCTGGGTGGAGGGCAGTTCCACCTGCATTAGGGCAGGTGGGGTTGGTCCACCTCACTTACCTGAGTGCTCTCAGTGGCAACAGAGCAAGCTAAGGGACCCTGCATAAGGCCAGGCCATGCTCCCTCCACATGTTTCCCCCTGCTCTAGTGAGCACAGATTACAGAGATCTCACCCTGCTCCTGATCTCCTGATGCTCCTGGGGCAGTGGGAATGGTGGCACTGCACAGGCTGGGAGGCTGGATGCACCTGAGTAAGAGCTCTGCTGTCACTCACTCACTGCGTGACCTTCGGGGGCTATTTACTACCTCTGACCTTCAGTTTTCTCAAACACAAAATGAGAACAGTCACACCAACCTTAAGAGTTCTCACAAGCCCTACAGGAGATACAGGTATAAGGCGTCTCATGCTGGAGACAGCGGTGCTCTCCAGGGAGTGGCTGAGACAGGAGGTGCAGCAGCGTGGTTAAAAGTGCCCACCCTGGAGCCACAGTGAGCAGGTAAAACCTGGCTCTCCTGCTGTTTACCTCAGGCTCTGTGCTTTCAGTTTCATCTGTAAAGTGGGGCTAATCGGGGTACCTACTTTATAGGTCCTATTCACAGGAGGATTTCACAGCGTCTCTGTGAAGACTAATGTTAAACTGCTCTGGATAACCCCTGAACACGGGGACATTTATGTCTTCTCTCCAAATGGTTATGAACACGAGAGGGGCTCTTCCAGGACTGGTCAGGCACAGAGATTTTTCAGGCCCAGCATTTAGAAAGCCTTTTATAAGTGCCAGGATTGTTATTTTCATCTCTTTTATTATCTCTTCCTTCATTGCCCTACCTGGTTAAACATGCCTCCTAGATGGGGCAGGGGGCACTCCTTGCAGATGGGATCGGTGGCTTATTTGCCCCTTGGTTCCCTGAGCCTACTCGGTGCTGGTTGCACAGTGAATGCTCTGGAGAGAGATTATTATTATTGCTTTTCTGGCAGAGAGAGCAAAGCTACTGGGAAATGATACCACTATAGAAAAGAGCCCAGGTCAATCACTGTGGCACCCCCAGGACACCCCCCTCTAGGGATAGCGAGTAGCACAACCGGAGCCCCTCGCACCCCAGCCCTGGCGCCTGCCCACTGGCTCACTCTGCACGTGAATATGGGATCGAGGGCTCCGCCTGGAGACACTGTGGGATGCCGTCATGGCCTCACACCAGTAGTACCCCGAGTCTTCTGTCCATAGTGTTAAGCCCCAAAGCTCTGCTGAGCTCCAGCCTGACTTCAGGGTGTGGCCATCTCTGAAGAAGGAGTAGTGGAGCTGGGTCCTCGACCTCTCTGAAGGGAGGCTGGTGTCACAGGACAGGGTCACTGAGCTCCCTTCTGTGGGCTGGGAGGGTCTGGCTGTCAGCCTAGGTGCGGGAAACAGCTCTGGAGGGAAGAGTGGGACAGAGCCCACTGTCAGTGAGGTGTGCACCTGCTGAGAAATGCTTTGTTTTCTTAGCTGAGATGAGCAAGACACTCAGACTCACACTCAAGGACACACAGACCCCATGACTGTTCCCTCCAGAGTGGTGTCCTCTGCCCATTGCCCTGGTCCTCCTGCACAGTCCCTGCTCCTTCCTGGTTTCATCCACTTGCTGACTGAGCCCTCACCTTGCACAGTGAGCCACACAGATCGTGTTTCTTCTGTCACATCTACGAAGAGGAAATATTTCCTATCAGCCTTACAATAATAGGAGCCACTGTCACTGGCTCTGGCGTGGGAAATGGTGTAGCTTGAGGCACTGTCGTAAGTAGATATGAGTGACCCGTCCTTGTAGTACATCAGTCTCCGTATGTTTTTATTTTTTTCCCCAGAGCACTGTATAACCACCCGGTCTCCTTCGTAGGCCTTGTGTGGCATGTCAATGCTCAGCCAGTCTGCAAAAGATGCAAAGACACCTCTGGTGACAATGCTGCTCCCTTCCCTGTCACTGAAAGTTCTGTCCGTGAGGGCAGGAGAGAGTGCTCTGCACTCCAGGGCTGTGCCTCCACGGTTGCCCTGTGACCTACGTGTCCTGTTAGCTTCCCTACATTGTAAAGGTGTGCCCTATTCACTCAGTGACATTTTTGTCCTCCAGATATCCTGCTAGTTTTATGCCTGTTAACAAATTTTGATGCCATTTTTTCCAGACGCCAACAGTTTTCTGAGCTAATGTGGATTTTAAAAGATTCCACTTACATGTCTTCATCCATTCAGGGTCACCTCAGGTCCCCATGGGAGCCATGATTAACTTTGTCTGGATCTCTAGCTCCTGAGAGGTTGTGTCCTATGGTGCAATTGAAGGCCCTTCCTTTTTTCCCTCCCTGGATGAAACATGCTGGACCACAGAGACATCAGCTCTGGATCTGCCTCTCCAATATCTAGAGTTTCCCACTGGGAGGCTCTTTCCAGAGGTTCCTGGGAATCATTTTGAGAATGGGCCTGGGAGATCTCCATGAGAAAGAACATGGGCAGGTCTGCTGTTCAGGAAGACAGTGGCCACAGAGAGCTAAGGAGCAGCTTGGCGTTTGGGATCTGTCCCAGCAGGGAAAGGAACACAGCAGCAGAGAGGAGGTACAGACTCTTCCCCAAGGGGCTGTGTGGAGGAAAGGACAACTAGCCGCTGACTGCAGACCTTCAACCTGGGGCTGTGTGGGGGAAATTTTCAGGTGTTAACACACCTAGGAATTCAAGTTCAAATCTCAATTTGGAATCCAAGTACATCGGGCTGGATTGTAGGGAAAATGTTCATTGTTCTGATAAAAAGTCTAATCCCAAGCCTGCAGCTTGGACTGTTGCCCCTCACTGTGCAGAAAAGCAGTGTCCAACATGGATGGACCGAAACAGGAGAGAGACAAGGCAGGAGGGTGTCGTTCAGACTGTCTTCCCAGCTTATTCTTCCAGCCGGGAGTTCGTGAACAAGCAGTAGCTCCCAAGATCCCACTCTTGTGGGGTCTGTATGCCTAGTCCCCTAATGGGGTCCAAAAGGAAGAGGGGAGAAAGTACTCACATGTGAAACTTTTTTTCCCTTTTAAAATGTCCTGGTTTTGAAAAATATATATTTTCTGCTTTTATATGTATTTTACCATATTTGCACTATTTTCAGCATAGGATCCATATCTATTATAACATATGTATAATGTATTAGAGGTACATGCTCAAAATTTTTGTTCTCAGTGGCACAAAGTGATCAAATACGTTTAAAGACAACTTCTCCACCCCTTTAGCCACTTTGAAAGTTCCACTAATAGAAGAGGCAGTGGGGGTGGGGGTGGGGGACACAGGACTGATGGAGAGAGCCAAGTGCTAAGCCCCCAGATGTTTTCTTCCTCCATATTGAGACAGGGCAAGGTTTTCAGTGAAGACTAGAGAGATGCCACCAGTTTGCTTAAATAAATACTTGAGGAATAAGTTTGATACTAAGGACAGGGTTACAGATAGAGAAGAAATGCCAACACCAGGTTTTCCTGAGTATGGGACAGGGTTTGTTTCTAAGATCCTCGAGGACGTGGCCTTTAGCTTTTGACCTTTGCTTCCAGAACCATTCCCTAGAAGAAGGTACAATTGTGTGTCTGCACACAGTTCATCCTCCTGTCCAGGAGCTCACTGGATCCCATGAATCTGCTGCAGATGTTGCAACCAATTCAAAGACACTATTGCTTTAAGTGACAAGTTAGGCGTATAAGCACCACCTCCCTGCCCATTACAGAATGAATGCATTCTCAAAGGCTTGCCTAAAGAAGAAAATATAATTTTCCTGTCACATATGAAGTCAAGCTTTTCTCTTTATTTCATGGTATTTGAATTCTCATGGAAGAGGAAAGAGAGCTCAGGGCTGGATGGGGCACAGTCCAGGTAGAAGACGCAGGGTGTCCATGTTTTACACAGAGCACCACCTTAGCCCGCTGGCTGCCTCTGTTATAAATGTGTTTTCCACCCTGGCCTCCAGTGCTTCTGTGGGAGGGGGCTTTGCATATCAGCCACCAGAGCCTGGAGAAAGTCTCCCAATCACACAGTTCCCACCCCCCACCCCCCGCCCCGAGCTGTCCTCTCCTTTCCTATCCCAGAGCTCAACAGCCAAGGGTCAGGCATAGGCTTCGTGCTCGCCAAGCAGAGAGGTGGCAAAGCAGAGATGAATGTCATGCTGGAGCATCCCTGGTCAGCCAGGACCAGGGCGAGGTGAGCAAGGCATCAGCTCTCAGCTCTTCCCATCTGGTCCTGGCCCAGATGGCTGCAGTCCTCAGCGAAGAGACTGGAACAGGCACCATCCCCTCTCCCACCCCACACCTGGCAGAGTGAGTGTGATTCCCAGAGGTCCAAAGAAGAAAGAGAAGAGATACTCACCCGACCAGACAGTGACAGGAGCTGTGAGGGAAAGAAGTTGGAGAGATTACACAGGGCTGGGGCCCCCGCACGTGTTACAGAAAGTTGTGACCCCCTGCGAACATTCCCCCAATTCTCTTCCCCCTGCTTTCTTTTTGCCCTTTCCCCTGCCACCACTTTTTCTTTCCTTATATCCTCCCTCCCTTCTTCTCTCTATTTCTTTCTCCTTCTCTCTCTCTATCCTTCCTTCTTTCTCTCACAAACAATAGTCCTGTGAAACCCAGAATTCATGTGATCACCCCAGTTTATAAGCACAATCCTGTCCATCACCAGGAGTTTATCTGCAATTAAATTCTAAGAAATTTTATTATTTATTGCCTCCTGTCCTGCCTTTTCTTTTTAAGTTGTTCTGTTTTCTTTGAGATGAATTACCTATCTGGGTCAACACAGAAGCCTAAAGAGATGAGGCATCCTCTCATACCTCCCTGACACTTTCTGCCTTCTCTCCCTTTCTACAACTAGCATTGTGTTTGGGTTCATATCAGAGAGTCACGTGTACCAGCAAAGCCATGATCTCAACTATCGTTAACAAGACTCAAAGCCTCTCCAAATTCTAAGTCTAGAGAGGAAGAATGTCTTGGAGTGGGAAGGGGGGTGGGGTGGAGTAGGATTTATGTAGGCTAGAAACAGAATTCACCCTAACAGAAAATTTCTTTGATGTCTTAATTTTAAGAAGTTTTCCAATTTTGCCAGAGATCAAAGTAGAGATGGGTACTAGACAAAGAAATAAGTTGTCTGTAAGGAAGCCATTTGTAGTCCTTTATGTCTCCAGAGAGCCCTGCCCTACTCACTACCATCCACATTAGGAGCTGAAGCCTACCCCTACTCATCCTAGCAGAGCCCAGCAGAGCAACTGCACTCAGAGGGAACTTCTGGAATGCCCAGGCATTGGTGATTCTGTCCCAGCTCCACCCGAGTCCTGCTCCAGCATCCTACCCACCCAGGACCAGAAGCAGTGGCCACAGCAGCATGAAGGTGGTGGCAAGAAGTTCTCCCAACAGCAGCCAGACGCACTGCAGCTCAGGTCCTCAAGGCAGGGTCTATCTGCATGGAGTGTAGGCAGGGATTGGGCACTGCTTCAGCAGGGATTTATAGAATAGAAAAAAGGAAGCGGGAAAGCTCTCTGTTTGCCAGTCAGCATTGTCTCCACTCCCACCCCTGTGGGTGCTGAAAAAGTAAATTTCTTCTCCTTTACAGGAGAAGAAGTAAATTTCTTCTCCTTTACTCAGATGTGCGCATGCATTGATCAGAAATGCTCCTTAAATGTCGGATGTCTTCATCCCGCACCTAAGCTTCCTAACTCATTGTAACTTTACAGAAAATGCTGAGTTCTGTGTCTGCTAAAGTTCAAGTCACTTGTTTGGTCTCTTTATTTATTTATTTATTTTTTCAGAGACAGAGTCTCACTTTATTGCCCTCAGTAGAGTGCTACGGCGTCACAGCTCACAGGAACCTCCAACTCCTGGGCTTAGGCCATTCTCTTACCTCAGCCTCCTGAGCAGCTGGGACTACAGGTGCCCACCACAATGCCTGGCTATTTTTTGTTGCAGTTTGGCTGGGGCCAGGTTCAAACCTGCCACCCGCAGTATGTGGGGCTGGCGCCCTACCCACTGAGCCACAGGCACCAGCCTGCTTGGTCTCTTTCAAAGAGACATTTTCATTACCACTCAAGAGCCGTGATTTGACTCTTGGTGTGTTATGACTTTTCCTATCACAAGTCCCAATATTGTGACACCATGCCATGTCCACCTACCCAGACCACATCAAAGGGCAAACAGGCAAGTGTTAGAAATGATGGAGGGATTGAGATAATATCAGAGGTGTTATATGTGGCACAGGGACCTAGGAAGACACAAATCCCAGACCAAGCCAAGTCATCTCTGCCCATGAGATCCAGTTAGATGCAAGCAGAAAGAAAGAGGTAATATGAGCACACTGGGGTTACCTGAGGCTTTAGCCCCAAACAGCAGTGCAGTGGTTTGTAGGGCTTTGCCACATATGGGAAAATTAGGTCCAAAGTTCAAGAATAAATTTTGGAAGAGAGCCCTTATATCAGGCTGAAATAGAATCCACCCTGGTGGTTAAGAGACTTTAATAGTGGGACCATGTAGAGAGATGTGGGCAGGAGGAAAGGGTATACTGAGGACGGGAGCCACCCACAGACCAGCCACAGTGGGAAGCTGCCACAACCCCCAAGTGCTGAAGGAGCAATGGGAAGCAGGACTGTTACAAAAGCCCAGGGACAGTTGGGACCATAGGGGAGGGACTGCCAGGTGGGGGTGTGATCATGGAGAGTGCAGCCTCTGCATGAGATGAAGCTCCAAGCTGAGAGGGAGTGGGGGAAGTACCTGCCATCTCTCTCCTATAGTCTGACCCCAAATGGGCCCTTCTGATGGCAGAGCCTGACCTTGAGCCAGTGAGGCTGGTGCAGTGTGCTGGGCTCAGCTTTCTGGGGGAGCAGAGCAGCAGAGGAGGGCAGAGAAAGGATCTGGCAGGGAGGTTGAGAGGGATGCCTGGAATGGAGATGGTCTAGCATAGGCCTCAGTGGGCAAAAGTTCCTTCCTAGTGAGAGCCTTTCTTTCTCTGTGTTGGAATCTGCCAACACCCTCCCAGTGCTGGCAGGGTGTGGGCTGCTGAGGTGAGATTAAGGAGACACTGGGTCAGGCAAAACAGGATACCTTGATGGCACTGCCAGCTGCTCTAGAGAGAACTGCTGACAGAAGAGTAAGCAAGGCAAGGCAACGCTTCTTTACTAGCAATTTCAGACCCATTTTCTCAAGGTAGCTCTTTTGCGCCGAGGCTGTAGACCTTTATGACCTCATAACTCCTCCTCCCCAATCATTTTACCCCCAAACAAAAACATGAGCATTAAAGCCAGAGCTTGTCGAGGACACCAGGTGAAGCCTACCTCTGCTGACATGTTTGTGTGTGGGGCCTGGGGAAAGTGAGGCCAGAGGGAACATGTCCAAGGGTTCGGGCTCCAGGCCTGCCCCGCTGCATGAGGAGGAGGAGGGAGGATATTGAAGAAGCCATATCCATGTGCTTTCTGCCTTGTAATCCCTTTGACATTTCACCCTCTAGAACAGGGGACAAGCAAATGTTTTGCAAATGCTTTTGATCACAAGTAGAGAGATAAAAATGGCTTAAGTCAAAGGAATGTTTGAGAAAGAATAACACTGTAATCAAGAGACAGGGGTTGGGGGATGAAGGGCAGCACTAGAGATAGAGAAGAAATTATGCCACAGGAACATTCCAAACAAGAACCAAGGTGTGGATGGTCAGATACCACCCTGCCCAGAAGCAGATGGACTAGGAATTTGGTGACTGTTTAGAAAGATGACTCTTCATGATTACATGCTCCTTTGAGATCTTGCCATGACATAGGGACATGTTATTCCCTCAAAACACAAACACATAAAGGTGAAAGGTTTTTTGGTTTTTTTTTTTTTTGAGACAGAGCCTCAAGCTATCCCCCTGGGCAGAGTGCCGTGGCACCACAGCTCACAGCAACCTCCAACTCCTGGGCTCAAGCGAGTCTCCTGCCTCAGCCTACCAAGTAGCTGGGACCACAGGCACCCGCCACAATGCCTGGCTATTTTTTTTTTTTGGTTGCAGCCATCATTGTTGTTTGGCAGCCCAGGCTGGATTCGAACCCGCCACCTTAGGTGTATGTGGCTGGCGCCTTAGCCACTTGAGCCACAGGCACCGAGCCGAAAGGTTTTTACTGTCAACTTTCAGACATGATCCAGGGACATCAGATTAAGAGCCACCAGCCTACTGCTGTACAACAGCACAGGCCAGGCAGGATGGAGATGGTCAATAACATTTTAAAGGACATGTTCCTGAAAAACATAACTTTTGTATTACATAGTAAAACCCCGCTCTTCTCTTCATTAATTATGTTAGAATTCTAAATCACAAGGGGAAGCATGGCGTGCTTTTGCCAACTTCTTGTTTTTTGTGGGTTTTTTTTTTTTTTCTGAGACAGTCTCACTTTGTCGCCCTCAGTAGAGTGCCTGTGGCACCATAGCTCACAGCAACCTCAAACTCTTGGGCTCAGGTGATCCTCTTGCCTCAGCCTCCTGATAAGCAGGGACTATAGGCGCCTACCACAACATTCAGCTATTTTTTAGAGATGGGGTGTCATCCTTGCTTAGGCTAATCTTGAACCTGTGAGCTCAGGCAATCCACCTGCCTTGGCCTCCCAGAGTGCTAAGATTACAGGTGTGAGCCATCACATCCTGCCTTTTTGCCAACTTCTTAACCATGCTGGGGAACACAGGAGTGCTCAGATTTCAGAGCAGCAGCAGTACCTGTTCTCCAGAGCACCCTCCATCCATTCCAGAGAGGACGTCCAGCTGGGGAAATCAGAGAGGTCTTGGAGCACTTTTTAGTGTGTACAAAGGGATTCTACCAACATCTTTCAGCTCCACATGAATCCTTTCCTTTATAGATGTCTTGTCTCCCTCCCTGATTTGGGCTTTCCTTGGTTGGATGAGGTTTTGCTCACCCAGGAGGATAGGCAGGCATTAGAGTAAGGACTGATGATGTACTCAGAGCAGCCCTGACCTGAAAAATGGGGGAGCTCATCCCTGAAGGCTTTGACAAAAGGGATGGACAGGCAGTGGGTACTGAAACAGGGCACCTGACAGTCTTCTGTCCTGTGATAAAATAATACTCAAAGGTTCAAAAGAATAAAGAGAAGGGGAATCATGCAACTATATACACACAAAGGAGTAAAGATTTTTAGATGAGCCTGGGAAGGACTTTTTAAACTTTAATTCTGGCAGTCCTCTGAGAACTTTTGCGAATGTCCACCTGTCTTGCCTCTGTTTCTGGAGGAAACTTCCTGGAGAGTGAGAATAGTCTTCAGGTAAGTTCCCTTGACATGGACTGTGTTCAACAGATCTGTCCTGACTGCTGCAGCAGAAGACTGAAGAGCTTCAGGGAGCAGATCCAAGCAAATGTGAAAGAACCACTTTCCTAGGCCATTGGGGACCTTTGACTGTAAAAGTAATCTTTCCTAAGACTTCCCACAATACTTTCTGATGGCTCCAGTCTCCAGTGGTGCATCCTACCAAATCCAGGTCACTGATGCTGCCATAGAAATATTTTCAAAGAATAAAGTGGAGCAGCACCTCCAGGCTTAGCACCACCTGTAGCAGCCCGTATAGCCTATGGCTAAGAGGAGTGAGAGTTATAAGAAATACCTGTAATGGAACACCTTGGTGAAAAGGGCATGGAGAGAGATTTGGTTCTAACAAGCATAAGTGAGCTCAGGAGATGAGAGCGTCGGCAAATTGGCAGTCCCTACACCTGTGGTGTTGAGAAGCACGAGCTCAGCCTTATATTAGGCTGGAGGAGAAGGCAGTCAGGGGGCGTGCGTGTTCTGTCACGGATGCCCTTACTCTG